AGGGATAAAAAAAAAAAAACCAACATATTTGTCAAAATCATTGCTCCTCTAGAGGAGTCTATGACTGTCCACTGGTTGTAGAGGAAGCCTGTGGTAGGTGATCCACCTTCAGAGTGTCTGGACCAAAAGACAAGCAGTGCTGATAGCTTCCAAAATGTGTTTGGCTGTGTCTGGAGCAGCCCCTTGGACTGGCTGGTATCCTTTTTAAGTACTGTTCATGCTGTGCCACGTTTCCTCACTGTGCCATGCTTGAAAACCCTTCATTCCCCTTCCCACTTCTTTCTTCCAGCTTGTAGGTCTTTATTCCTGTCAGTGGCAATATCCTGTTATTGTCTTTCTTTCCATTTGGGAATTCTGCGTTTTGTGTCATAGTTTGTGGCACCTTTATCTTCTGGTGACCCACACTGATCATGTCCTGTCATCAGACTCTACACCTGAATCAAAAATCAGGAGTTATCACAGTCCCACTGCTATAGGCACAACATGCTGTTGTGTCCCAGGGGCAGAGCAAAGCTCAGTGGAAGATGAGTCTGAAGGAGAACCAGCAGCAAGGCACAGAAAGTGAACACTGTGGTTTTCCACCACATGCCATCATTGCAGGCTTGGCATATCCTCTGCATGTCACTAATTGCTGGTCTGGAAAGAACTGAGCATTTTGATTCCTTAGGCAAATGAAATAACAGGAGTGTGAGGGAGAGTCACACCTTCTCTTTGAAAGCAGAGGATTAAGGTTTTTTTTTTTCCAGTGGGCTAACAAATGCTAGTGAAATGCCCACATCTGCAACAACACGTTTCTACTGAAGGCAGAGGCTGCACCCCCTTTGCAGTCACTGGGGGCTTAGGACGAGCAGCTGCACCCTAGAGGTCAGCCAGCTTTGCCCAGCAGGAGAAGAGAGGGAGAGCTCTCCTGCTCGCTGGGCTGCAGGAGCAGGGGCTGGGCAGGCACATCAGCCCCAGGCAGGGGGCACAGGGGGGCACCAGGTGCTGGACAGGCCAGGGCGTGTTGGAGTAGGGTCATGGTGAGGCTCTTACTGCCTTCTGTTGTCTCCAGTTTTGGACACCCACATTAAATTCAAATGGGATGTGAGATGTGCCTTTAGTGGTCACTGTGTTTAAATCTGGGGCTTTCCAGTGTGGGTGAAGTTCCCTGACAGATGACTGTGAATGAGCTTGAGCATGTGCACACATTGAACACCGCAGAGGAATTAATTCAGGGCAGCCCTGGGGCCTCTTGTGCAAGGTGCCTGAAAACTAAGGAGGGGGGTTTCTTCTGGCCTCTGAACACTGTTCTGTGTCACTGCAGAAAGCAGTGGAACAGCAGTAATTGTGGCTGTTGGGGTAATAATTCTTGTTTATCTAAAACGACATCCAGCTCTTCCCTTGTAATGAGGGTGTTACTTAGCAGGTGCCATCTTTATTCCTTTTTGTTTAGTTTTGGATTTGTGTACAGTTTAATTGTACTTTTCACTTGTCTTTTATGTACAAAGGAAAGCACAAGCTATTTAATGAACAGTTGCAGTTGTTTATCCATACTTTTAGACAAAAGGTTGCTATTTTCCAGCTTGAAATTCCTCTTGTGTAGCAAAGAGCTGTTTGCTGAAGGAGATGTGGGTATGTGGCCCTTGAATAAATAAGTAGCAACATTTTGTTAGTAATTGGATTTAAATTCTTTAATTACTGATATTTGTTAACATGCTCATCATGCCAATTACATTTGGACAAAATAGCATTGAGAATAAAGGGGAATTTACTTTCAGCTGGAGGTGACATTGGGCAAACAGTAGCTGGGAGGATTAATTGCTACAAAGCAGGTATATACAGATGTAAAGTAAGTGTGTCAGACACCAAATAAATTACATCCAAGTTCCATGAGATTCCCCAGCAGTGTTCCTGTGGTATAATTTGGGTGGATATAACATTTATTATAGGGCCTCTTTGGATTAATCTTTTGATTTCCTGTGACTGTTCCTTTCCTTATATAAAGTTGGCTAAATGAAGTTGCAGCTGGATTCTGGCTGATATGGAAATCCTCTGTCATCTTAAAACATAATTGCCACTTCAGCTATATGCCCAGCTGAGAAGATGACAAATGTTATAAATTCATATGAAGTTTCAGTGCCTCTGAATTTCTGGGAGCTTTCAAATGTTGTAGTCCATTTTGGCCAGGCTTCTGGAATACATCAGTTTTTGGTTTTTTTTTAAGGTAATTGTAGTTTTGGCCAGGCTTCTGGAATACATCAGAGTTTTTGGGGTTTTTTTTAAGGTAATTGTAATTATTTACAAAATAATAAAAATAGCTCTTGCACTCAAAACAACAGAGTTGTCCTTTTCTACTTGCATTTATTTATTGTGTGCTTAAA